GGAGCCCGGGATAGGGGCTAGGGTTCGGTGTCTGCCAGGGCTGTCCGTGGGTGGGGCGGGGATTCGATCCGGAGCTTCGACCTCGACCGCGGTTGCGGTGTCTGCCACGGCCACGACCATTGCCGCTGCTGTGTGGATGCTGACCGTGACTGCTGCTGCTGCTGTGGGACCCGCGACCTCCGCCAGCGGAATTGTGGTGGATGGCACCATGGTTGCTGGCCGAGAGAAGGGCCGTGCCGGTGGGAGGATCGGCATCCAGGTCTGCTCCTTGGCGTTCCAAAAGAAGGAGGGCCGAGCGGGTTTGAAGAAACGTCGGTGGCGGGGTTTGAAACTGCAGGAAAGATGTTTGGCCCCGCATGTCATCCGGCAGCCCCCGAAGTACTTGTAACACAAGTTGTTGTTCCGAGACGGGGGCATCTACGTCGTCCAACCAATCGGCTATGTTCTTGAGAGTTTGACAATAGGCCGAGATGGACAGCGAACCTTTCCTCGTAGTCCGAAATTGATGTTCCAACTGCATGGCTCGGGCGGGTTTGTTATCATGGAAAAGGGAGTGAATGGATCGCCAAAGTTCCGCGGCGGAGTCGGTGGAGGAGATCACGAGATCGGAGACTTCATCGTTGATAGTAGAGAGGATCCATCCTTGGAGGAGTGCGTCAAGTTGATACCAATCAGCATCGTCGGCACCGGACGGGGCTGATTTTCCGGTGAGGAAGTCGCAGAGAGAGAAGCGACATACCAAGAGGAGAAATAGGCGACTCCACTTTTTGTAGTTCGGTTCCGTGAAACTCAAAAGCACCGGGACATGAAGCTTGACGTTAGAAATTGTTGTGAATGCCAAATGAGGAGTGGAGGCGGAGGAGGGAAGTTTGCCGGAGCCTGCTTCTTTCTCGGACATGGCGGCGACTGGAGATGGACGCTGGGAGGGCAGCTGCTGTGGAGAGGCGGCACAGGGGAGAGAAGGGCGCTGGTGGATGCGCGCTTGATAGGGAGAGGACACGCCGGCGCTAGAGGCAGAAGAATTATTGCTGGCGGCGTTAGGGTTGGTGGTGCGGCGGAAAGCAACGCACGAGAGAGAAGGAGGGAAAAAAAAAATTTAGGGTTTAGGAAAGAGGCTCTGATACCATGAAGAAGAATTATTTTCTATATTGATTTTGTGGAGTCAAGCCCCGTATATATACAAAACATAAGTCTCCTAACTATGGTAGGATTATAAACAAGGAAACCATATACAAAGGAAACTACCAAATATATGTAAAGATATTAAATATACAATATATTTAACACATACATATTTTTGTTTGAAGATAAAATCCACTTTGGGACAGTTCCAGTGAGGCTGTTCCTGGTCAAATAGCTTCAAAGTACTCAAAAAATGTCAGTTTTAGTTGAACATATGGTTGCAAACAAACAAGAATTTGTCAACCCCTTACATGAAATCTGCTTTGGATAGTTGAAAAAAAGAAGTTGGAATCCCACCGCTCAAATTGTTATAACTCAGGTCCCTACACTCATCACATTTTTTTTTAAAAAAAGAACATCACTAGTAAGAAGAAAGCAAGCATTTTGGATGAACATGTAAAAGTAACAACATACAGAGTTTTCAATCTTCTAATGTTCCCAAGATATTCTGGGATCTCTCCATCTATCATGCAGTTCCGCAATACCCTGCATTTTGAAGAGGAAATAAATGAAGAAATGAGTAAAAGTTTCGAGTCCTCAAGAAGGCTTCAATTCAATTCCAATGGAAGACACGAAAAGGAACTCACAGTATCTTCATGGATTCCATTCCTTTAAGTTGAGGGAAACTGGACCTCTCCCCCTTCAAGTCACTTATCCTCCTGAAACACACGAATAATCCCAAAATAACCATTCTGCTTTATTTTTCTGCTCAAGTCAATTCACTGGAAATATAAGACACAGAAGGCGAGAGATGAAACATCATACAGATCAATTAAAGTTGTTAAGTTGGAAATTTCTGGAGGTATAGGGCCTTCAATTGAACAGCCTTGAATGTGCCTGCAGCATGGAACTACTAATTATAATCTGACCAAAAACATTTTAGAAGGTGTTTTTGAACAAACACACGGACGAAATCCTACAGTTTCTCAATTTTTGTCCATTTGCTGATGAAATCGGGTATCTGTCCTGTGAAGTTATTGTCACTTATCCTCCTACAAGTGAAAAAGTGTGAAACCTTAATTAGTGACACTAAAATGGAATTCATGTCGCGATTATTTAGCAAAAAATAAAAATAATAAAATATCGAATGCTCACAGATCAGTTAAGTTCTTCAGCATGCCAAGCGCGGATGGCAAATTTCCTGTAAATGCATTTGAGGACAATACTCTAAAAACAAAAAAAGAAGGATCTAAAATCAGTGTAAAACGAAACAGAAGAAACATATGATTCACGAGTAAGGGGAAGAAAAAGTACAGTTTCTCAAGATGAACTAAGTTCCCAATCTCCAAAGGAATAGATCCCGAGAAGCTATTTCCTTCTATGCTCCTGTGAATTGTAACATATAATCTGGATGAGGCTGCATATATTTACTAGAGCACACATTTACTGCAGTACGAACTTGTTGATTTTAACTACAGATTAACATAATGTCCCTTTTACTTCTACAAGTTTTGGTATCAGGTAATTAATTCTCTTACATTCGTGTTAATGACAATAATCATCTAACATGCATAACCTTTTACGTAACGTTATGATCACATTTACTTTATTTGCTTAGATGAAAAGGTTCATTGTAGAAGCAGTCAAAACTTAATGAGATGAGAAAAACATATCACACACAGGTTCCTGAGGGTATTGATTCTGGTGAGAACGGATGGAAACGGACCCGATAACCGGTTCCCCATAAAAGAGCTGCAGACACACGACATGCAAGAACAATACATCAGCAACAGACAATTCCACTCCATTAATATAAAAAAAACCAGATAGAAAACAAAGAAAATGAGGAAGGGAAATCAGATGTTACAGGTCGAGCAGGCGCATGGAAGCCCATTGTTGGGGGATAGAGCCATTCAGATAATTACGGCTGAGATCCCTGCTTATATATAATATAAAAACAGCAATTTAGAAGCCATAAATGCCAGCATATAATTACATTTACTATATGATATATATATATATATATATATATATATATATATATATAAATATATATAATTAACCTTTCAATAACATTGTACTCCACTTCATAAGAATCTAAACTTACAAGGTATTGAGGTGTTGGAACTTGGCGAATTCTGGGGGGACGCCTCCTGAATAGTTTTGGGACTTCAGACTTCTGCAGCCATTGTTCCCCCATTAATTAATTAATTACAGTAATTAAATCCCAAACACCAAAAAATACGGAGTAATAATTACTCCATATAATACTCGTATTATTAAATACAAGTATATGAAACAGCAAAAATAAAACCAGCCATCATTTTTGTTTATCAACTCATCTTTTCAGACACTGTTTTTACTAGAAATTCAAATCCTAAGTAACGTAATAAAATTAGAGTAAAAAACTACAAAACGGATCCAACATGTAATTTTTAAATTTGTAAAACTATGTAATTACAACGTTTAACTTTAATGTTTTCTTACTTAAAAAAAAAAACTTAGGGTCCGTTTGGTACACGAAATTAATGGAATTGGAATTGAAATTCCATGAGATTCAAATCCATAGAATTGAATTCACCATTTCCAATTCATTTTTTGCACTACCAATTCCAAATCCACATAATTTTTGTTCTACCAAACACGAGAATTGGAATTGAAGTCCTCAATTCCAATTCCATAGGTTGAATTCCGTGGACCAAACGGGGTCTTAATGTTTTCCAAATTAAATTCAATATATAACTAAAATATCTATCACTAAATTTAAAATACGGTTTCAAAAGACTTTCAAATGAATTATTGCGTGCTTGCAAGTTGCAAATCAATGCCGGAATCATTTATTTAATTAATACCCCACTGAATACTAAATTGACTCTATTGGGTCCGACTAAGAATTTTTTTAAAAAAAGTGGGATAATAGTATAGAATAATTTGCTCGTTATTTTAATGCGGAGTGGTCGTAATTTGATAGTGAAGTGATAACAATAATAATCACAAGAGAGGAGACCGCTAGCTGGAAGACGGGGGGCGGCTGAAGAAGGTTGACCAGTTTACTATTCAGTCAACCTGTTTTTGGTTTCTATTAAATTTTAATTTAATTTTTGGTTTCTATTAAATTTCTGTTTTTGGCTCCACCCTGTGAAAAATATATGGAGAATGTTGAGAAGTGAGCACAAGGGTACAACTGAAAAGCGGCTATCGAAACAAACCGTTTTCAAAATGGTACAAGATGAGTTCTCAAAAAATAAATTATCAAAACTATCAAAGTGAACCGAACCGTTACCATTTCATTTGTTATTTTTAGTAAGTTGAGATGATATTCATTTGGTGTGACTTTTAATAGTACTATATTACCCGAAGTACAAATCAAATTATAATTTTCATTTGGTGTGACTTTAATATAGTTCAATTTATAATTTGTTAAAATTCGTAACCAAACAATAAACTTGTTGAGTAAGAATGCATAAAAATATTGGTGTACTATTTTTTTTAATTACGTAGATTGCTTATTAGAATGAAAATATTTTCAAATCATCGAAGTATTATTGAATAGTTTGACATTACTATGGCATGATATCATTCTGTTACCAAACGACATGGTACCGAATGAGTTTAGGTATAATTTTGAACCCATACTAAACTGTTTGAATAGTAACGATATAGTACGAGTTCTATAAAACTACCAAACCGTCACATTTTTTAAGTGAAGACTTTTCAAATTAAGGGCATTCAGGGTCCGTTTGGTATACGGAATTGATGGAATTGGAATTGAATTGGAATTGAAATTCCATGGGATTCAATTCCATAGAATTGAATTCACCAATTCCAATTCATGTTTTGCACTATCATTTCCAAATCCACATAATTTTTGTGCTACCAAACACCAGAATTAGAATTGAGGGCAATTCCAATTCCATAGTTTGAATTCCGTGTACCAAACGGGACCTCAAGTAAATTGGATATTACAGTGCTTTTGAATTTAATTGAATATTACAGTTTTTTAAATTTAATTGGATATTACAAGGAAAATTGTGGCCCAACTAATTACTCCGGTGTATTTTATTCTTTCTCTACTTTTTTACTTTACTAAACAAAAGAAAATATAATTTCTTCTTCTTTTTTTTCCTTCTCTTTACTTTCCTCCAATTTTCCCGTCAAACAAAGGGACAAATTAATAACCACACCGACAAGGAAATGGTGGGCACCATTTTATTGATGTTTTGGAAGGAGGGAAGAAATGAATCAAATGATCTCATTTTGGTTGGGAAAAAAAATTAAGAAGAAAAAATAAGAAGGGCCCCCTAACAAAAGATGTTATAATGCATCCACATCGGAAGTCAAAGAGTAAAATAATCGATATATAAGCTTTTGAGTGGAACTAACTAATCGATTGGATTCAATTTTTTAATGCGCTTCAGCCCAAGTGTCTTATGAGCCAATCCAATTATCTTTATCTCATCTTAAATTCTATCATGGCAATCTAGTTATCCTTACCTCGACCTAAATTCTATCATGGTACCAAAGTCGGTTTTGGCCCACCTCATTTGTTAAGGTGTCTGTCTAGCGGTCCGATAGTCTTTAGCTCAGTTGTCCGTATGGAGTTTGTACCCAACGGCCTATGACCCTTTTAACACAATTGTACGTCTGGAAACTCATACCCAGCGGCTCGTGATCTTTTAGGTGTTGGCACTAAAAAAAACAAGGGGATGAGAGTACATTTGCAAGTAGTCAACCAGTTGGATTCAAGATGACCCAGTTGCTCACTTGAGGGGAGTGTTACAGTGCATCCAAATCGAAAGTCCAAGAGTAAAATAATTTATAATTGAAAATATAAGCTCTTGTGTTGAACTAAGTAATCGATTGGATTCAATCTTTTAATGTGTTTCAGCCCAAGTGTCTCTTATTGCTCAATCCAATAATTCATACCTCATTCTAAATTCTATCAAAAAAAAGTTTCTATCTTCTTGTGAGAAAGAGAACTTTCAAAGCCTTGTTTGAAAATAATATTTTCAATTAATGTTTTGAATAATTTTTTATAACACAGTTTAGTTTGGAAATAATAAAGTTAAATGTTACTCCGTATCATTTATAACATTTTCAAAAATTAAAAGCTAAAAATTGAAACTATTAACAAAGACGCTACAAGCAAATTAAAGCAAGGTAACTCCGTATAATTTATACGGAGTAACATTTTAAAATTACTCCTCTTGGTACAAAAGAAGGTAACCTCGTACTCATTAGACCATTCTTTCTTCAAATATAAGCAATAGATTTAGCAAAAATAACATTAATAAAAGACTTTCTTTCGGATAATTACTCCGTAATTATTTTTTACGCGACTTACACACGGCTAACTTTTGAAATACGGAGTACTCCGTACTTTAGAGAGTTAATTATTGCTTGCATTGCATCCGCTATTAATGGTAAAAATAGCTTGACCTTAATTGATGGAAAGTCAAAAAGGAAACAAAAATTTACCGTCATCCTCTCATCAGGCTAGATTATCCCAAAACTATACCAGACGTCGAACTCGAGGAGTGTTTTGTTTTTTCCGTCCCAAAATTAATGACATACTTTCATATTTAAAATACACCGGAATTTTTGTATTTTGTATGTTTTCTTATTTCATAAAATGAATATAATTGTCAGACATTATTTTGTAAAACTTTTGATATATTTTTAAATATGTAAACTTTATTTTTATACTAATCTTTAAAATAGAGAAAATTTAAAATTTTATTTCATTTTACGTAATGTGATACTCCGTATTATTTTTTGGACGGTGGGAATACATTTTAGTATAATTGAGTATTTGAGTTGACTATTTGATCAAGGCAATCATAATAATCATTAAAAAAATCTGTTGGTGTGGAGTACGCGCTTATTAGTGTTATGATAATAGCCTTGTTTTGCCTTAAAATATTATATAGGGATTCGAAAGGTGTCTTGGCGGGCTTCAGGGGCTGCACCACCGAAAGCAGGTCCAAGAAGTAAAGTTCCAATTTTTTTATTTTGGACAAAGAGTTATGTTAAAAAGTCATTTGAATTTTTTATTTTCAGATTTGGACATAAGAACATCCGAACCGCATCCTCTTGAACCAATCAATAGATGCGAACTTTTGAAAGAGGCACCAAACGTCTGTTCTCGTTTTTCGTAGCATAGATAAAACTCATATGCAAGATTGGTCTGAGTTGGATCCGATTGAAAGATTGAGATGAACTGCCTAGTTTCATTCTTAAAATGAATATGTGCATGCCTTTCAGAGAATCCAAGGGGACCAGATTTGTATCTTGGTCACAATCCGACACATCACACCGTTTGGGCTAGACGCTAGTTTTTACCTTTGTTGTCGCAGTGAGTTTGTCGAGTTTTTTAACTCTTCTAGTTATACAAATAATGATGACCACTAAAAAATTCTTGTGCATTGTACAATATCAATTAATGAAATAAATCTTTAAAAATATTTTTAAAATAAATCTATGTAATATAATTTTTATTTAATCGATCATAAGAATTCGCTTAATTTAACTTCAAAATGTCAAACTTGACTAATAGATTAGGACGATGATAGTATTGAATTAGAAAGACAACTAAACCAAAAAAATGAATTTGAGAAGTAGCTAAATCAAAGCTGCCAACTCCGGTTCCATAAATATCAAAGATAATGTCTTTTCCTTTTTAAAATTGTGCAATAAAAACTCCTACCCCAAGTCCCACCCAACCACCCAAGGACGGAGCCATTATAACATTATTAATGAAGGAAAGCTTAAAAGGGAATAATCATAATCGTGTTTAGCCAAGCCCAAGGCTAAACCAAGACTTGGCAAATCCTAGTGAGTGCCTAACCACCTAATTCATCATATACCAAACATTTGGCCTAGGCAGCCAAATTTTTTAGTTTAACCAAAAAATAAATGGTTAGAGGGTAAAAAAAAGGTTAGAGGGTAAAAAAAAAAGTTTTCAATCACCAAGTTTTGATAGCAATGAAAGAAAAGTGGCCCCCACATCCCAACCGGACGGTGAAGTGAGGGGTAATGCTACGTTCACAAACAGAATGATCACAAACTTCACAAATTTATTATTTATGGTTTAAATTCTCATTTTAAAATTATTTTAGGCTATTTAATTTTCTTTATTAAAGTTCACAAATGGTAAGTTTGTGAAGTTTGAGTTTGTGAACCAAGCATTTCCCCCGGAATGGATAGATAAAATTCCCACCGGAGAGATGAAATGGCAAAGAAAAGAGGGAGAGAAAGGGGAAATACATGGCAACGATATGGCAGAGGGTGGCGCCGTCAAAAGAGCAATCGCAAGTGATAGTGGTCTCAAACCCTTTCCTCGGAGCTCTGGTCCCACTCCAACTCCCATTTCCACCACCGCACGGATCCGGCAACCCCAAATCCCTCCCGAACCTCTTCCCGATCTCCCCGAGCGCCGCCGCTGCAACCCAATCAAACGCAAAAAAACCATTAGCAGAAACTATGAAGACATAAGAATTCTTTGGTTTTTTTTTAATTTTGGGGGGAGATGGGAATATGGAAGAAATTGCAGTGGTGGCGGCGGCTACCCTCTTGTGGGTGGAGGTTGGGAGTGGCGGCGGCGGCTGAAAGAGAGGGCGAGAGGAGGAGAGAGCAGCAGCAGAGTGTGCACAAAAGTGGAAGCTTTTTGGAGAGGAAAGAGGGTTGGGGTTTTGGGTCTTCCATTAATTTGCTTCATTCAATTCCTTGAGCTCACTCACTCTCCGTCTGTCATCTGCACCCCGTCCCTCATCATATATACATTGGATCAAATTATTTTTACTCCCAATTCCAAAACGTGTATTTTGGGTTTATTCTTGAATTAGACTTTTACACTTGTAAGTTTATGTTAAAGACAAAAGGTGTTGTTCTATCCACTATGGTTAAGTCTGCTCTATTTATAATTAAATATAATGGAAAAACTTGCTCTTAAAATCGTGAAAAAAATACAACTTTTGTTCTAAAATTAACATCCCAATTAGATTTTTACAGTAAAATTTTTTAAATTTTGACCACATATCATGAAAAAATATATTGAATTTTAATACGGAGTATAAATTTATAGGAATTGAACACGTGACCTCCCATATGGAGGAAGAATCCTCTTAGTGTCAACTGTGTCATTACAAGGTCTTTGGCTCACCACCCTCTTTTAAATTACCCAAAATGACGACCCTCTGCCTAGATTTAATCTTTTCATTTGCCGTTGGGGAGGTGGGCAGCCAGCGTCAAAGCTTTAACGTGGGAGGACTGACGCCCCTTAACTCTGCCATAGGAGCGGTGTTTAATGCCCTATGGACGTCAAAAGGCGGTTGACGACTTGACGCCGGGGGCGTCAGCCCCATTTTCACTACTCTTAGTCTTCTTTAGTTTCATTTTTAGGATTTTTTCTCAAACCTAAAATCTTAATTACTAACTTATTTGAGATTAGGGATCACAGCGGGTTGGGTTCGGTCGGATTTGAGTATATTGAAGCCCGATCTGACTTAGGTCGGGTTCGGGTTTGATTTTGGCGGGTCAGTTTCGAATATTAATTTTTTCGGTTCGAATTCTGTTTAAAATTCGATTGGATCGGTTACGGTCAATTTCGAGTATGTTCGCGTATCAAAATCAAAGTCATGCTTTCTATGTAGACATTTATTCAAACAACCTCACTTCTTGGGTTTATTTATTTTAAGGAATGAAAAAGACTTACCTTGTTAATTGTTATGTATTTTTTCATTGTCAGAATCAAGTTACCTCCCCATTTGATTATGTATTTTATCTCTAACATTAGAAAAGGACAATGCAAGAGAATTTAAACTAGTTCCATTTTATCTCGATCTCAAATATTATGAGACAAAGCAGGAAATACTTGTTACCCAAACCGCTCTGAACCATTTGAATAGAACGGGATGGGACCTGAAACTGAGAAATACTCCCTCCATCTAAAAAAAATTCTTATTTCCATCTTGGAACGTTTCAAAAAAGTCTCCTTTTTCTTTTATGAAAACATTGAATGGCTAATTATGTTTTTTCTCATCTACATCGATCACTTTCAATAACGGGTAAATTTCACGTATAGTACCTGAACTTTCAACTATTTTTTGTTTTGGTACCTAAACTTCATTTTCTTTCATAAAAATACCTCAACTTTAAAAAATCTTTCACAAATGGTACCTGAAGCCGATTTTTAGGTAACCATCAGGTCATTTGGGCTAAATTACAATTTTATATATTTTAAAATCTTCAATTTGACCCCATTTCTTTTTTCTTTTTCTTCCACTCCCACTCCCTTCCTTTTCTTCTTCTTTCTGACCTTGTTTTCTTCTTCTTCTTCCTTTTTTCACCTTCTTTTATTCTTCTTCCTTCTTTCTCCCATTTTTTTCTCCTTCAATAAACCCTCCACTCACAAGTCACAACAACCCACCCCTCCCTTCTTGTTTAACCACACTCCTCTTCTTGAGTCCCCTCTTTCTTTTTTTTTGGTTAATTTTAACTTCTTCGTGTTTTTTTTGTTTTCAAATTTTTTGTTGAATAACTTTTTTTAATTGATATCAAATTTTTTATGATATATGTCTTTTTAGTTTTTTGTTTTTGGTCTTTTATATTTGTAAATTTGTTTGTTTTTTTTCTATCTTTTTTTGGATGTTATAATATTACTTGTTTACAATTTTTTTTACTAACTTTTTGTTAGTTTTTTATCTTCTTCTTAACAAATGTCTAATTTTTTGTTTGTTTTTTTTGTTTTATTTCTTTTATTTTTTTATTTGACTTAATTTTTTTTTCGATCTTTGTTGTAAACAATTAAAAAAATAGTTAAATAAAATCTGCCCAAAACAAATAAAAAAGAGAATTAGAAATAATAACTGTAATAATAAAAAAAATTACTAATTAATCTTTTGTTTTTATTTTCTATCTTCTGTTTTAACCAACGTCTTATCTTTTTTGTTTGGTATTTTTATATATTTATTCTTTTCATAAAAAAAGTAAAAAAAATAATTGAAATTCATTCTTTTTTTGTTTGTTTTATTTTATATTTTTTGTTCGTCATTTTATTTTATCTAATTTCAATCTTTATTGTAAGAAATTAAACAAAAAATAATAAAATAAATCCAAATTAAATAAAAAAGATGAAAAACACAAAAATTAAGACAAAAATACGTAGTAGTATTTATTTCAATGTTCTTTTTTTGTTAATTTTTTTATTTGTTTTTATCTTTTTTCTAGATATTTTAATATTGTTTATTTGTTTGTTTACGATATTTTTTTGTTTGTTAAGATTTTTGTTTGTTTTTTCATCTTTTTTTGTTTAGTTTGAGCTTATTTTATTCACTTCTTTTGTTTAATTGTTTAGCATAAAGATTAAAAAAATAACAAACAAAAAATATCGAATAAAACAAATAAAAAATTGAATGTATGATATGATTTTTCTGTTTAATTAAAATGATCAATAAAATAAAATTGATTAATTAATAAAATAAAATAAGCCGAACGGAGAATAATTGAAACATAAAAAGAAAACAACCGTACGCACAAAAGATCGAATCCAAATTTCAATTACTCCATCCATTCCGAAATGGATTATAATTTTTTTGCAACCTACCTCTCAATAACTTTTGTTTGTTTGTTTGTATATTTTATTAATTATTCATATACCAATTTGTAAATGAATTGATTTTAAAAAGTGTGGAGTTTTGCCTCGTAAATGAGAAATTATAATTCAATTTGGGACAAAGGAAGTAATATTTACATTATTTTTATGAAAAAAATATAATACATTATATAGTAATATAAGGGGGTGAAAGAAGAAAAAAAAGAGGGTGAAAGAAGAAGAAAAAGAAGGGAGTGGGAGGGGGAAGAGGAAGAAAACAGAAGTTGGGTCAAATAAAATATTTTAAAATTTACTCCGTATAAAATTGTAATTTGACCTAAATGACCTGATGATTACCTGAAAACCGGCTCCAAATATCATTTATGAAAAATTTTAAAATGCATGTATTTTTGTGAAAAAAATAAAATTTAGGTATAAAAATAAAAAATAGCTGAAAATTAAAGCATCATACGTAAAATTTTACCCTTTCAAGTTTCAATTATATATTTTTATTTCGGAGTATTCTTAAACTTTTTTGTTTGACGATAAACGGAGAGTCCGATTCATTATAGGAACGGGAGAGTAGTAAAAAACGCACCTATAAGAATAGGTTTGCCGCTTGCACTCACTACAAGTCTACAAGCAAGTAACCGGAATTCGACACCCGCTTTCAAACTTCAAAACCTATGCCCCTATTCTGACACCCTACCCGACCCAACGACATTCACCTCTCTACAATCCCGCCACCGCCGGAAGAAACCCCGCCCTTCTATATATCGTCTTACGTTAACAACACCGCGCCTCTCAGGCGTATTCCGGCCCTCTCACAGGCCTTTGATCTCGTATCCGATCGAAACCACATGCCAATTGTTGTCTCCGACAATTGTCTCATGCGTGGCGCTGTGCCCTAACGTCAATTCCTCCAAGGGTTTGGCCGCACTGTCAGTCTTTCATAGCTTTTGTGAGGCGTTGTGTTTTGAAGCTGGGGAAAAATTTATAAGTTTTAAAATAAAATAAAAAAGATTCCGTCGTGAATTGTTCAAAAAAAGAGGAGATGATGGGTAGTATTCGTACAGTATATGGAGTGTCAGAACCAATATCTACTGTTGGGCCGACAGCGATTGATGTAGCGGAGAACGAGGCGCTGGAAAAATTTCTTGCAGATGCTGGTTTGTATGAGAGTCCAGAAGAAGCCATTAGAAGGGAGGAGGTGTTAGGGAGATTGGATCAGATTGTAAAGAAGTGGGTGAGGAATGTGGGTCGTGCTAAAGGCCATAGTGAACATCTTGCGCGCGAAGCCAATGCCAAGATTTTCACGTTTGGTTCATACCGGCTTGGAGTGCATGGCCCAGGTGCAGATATTGACACATTATGTGTTGGACCGTGGTATGCTACTCGGCATGAATTCTTTGGGGAGCTTCATGATATGCTGCTTGGAATGGAAGATATTCAGGAGTTACATCCTATCCCAGATGCTCATGTTCCTGTGATGAAATTCAAGTTCAATGGAATATCTATAGACCTTCTTTATGCAAGTGTTGCACTCTGGGTCATCCCGGAGGACTTGGATCTTTCACAAGAGTCCATATTGCATGGTGTAGATGGGCAGACTGTTCGTAGTCTTAATGGATGCAGAGTTACTGATGAAATTTTGCGCCTAGTTCCGAATATTCAGAGTTTTCGTACTACGTTGAGGTGCATGAGATTGTGGGCAAAGCGGCGTGGAGTTTACTCAAATGTTACTGGATTTCTTGGTGGTATAAACTGGGCTTTGCTTGTAGCTCGCATTTGCCAACTCTATCCTAATGCAATACCCAGCATGTTGGTGTCTCGATTTTTCAGGGTCTATAGTATGTGGCGCTGGCCAAACCCTGTTTTGCTCTGTCCAATTCAAGAAGGATCTCTAGGACTTCCATATTGGGATCCTAGGATAAATCCCAAAGACGGGGAACACCTAATGCCTATAATAACCCCAGCATATCCGTGCATGAACTCTAGCTACAATGTGTCAAGAAGCACGCTTCGTGTTATGACAGAAGAATTTCAGAGGGGAAATGGTATTTGTGAGGCAAGCGGAGCAAGCTGGGTGAATCTCTTTGAGCCTTTTGCATTTTTTGAAGCCTACAAAGGCTATTTGCAAATAGACGTGTCTGCTGAGAATAATGATGAAATGATGAGTTGGAAAGGCTGGGTTGAGTCTAGGATACGTATGCTTATACTTAAGATTGAGAGGGACACAAGTAAAGTGCTTCAGTGCCACCCCTGTCCTAGTGGCTTTTCAGATAAAGATAAACCATTTCGTAGTTGTTCTTACTTCATGGGTTTGCGTAGAAACCAAGAAACCAATCCGCAACAAGGTGAACAGTTTGATATAAGGCTGACAGTTGCAGAGTTTAAATGCGATGTGTATCGATACCCGCTCTGGAAACCAACAATGTCAATCCATGTGTGCCATGTAAAACGAAAAGACATTCCTAACTTTGTCTTCCCTGGAGGAGTTAGGCCTTCACAACCTGCAAAGCTTGCTACTGCTAAAGTTACGCCCACTGCAAGACGAAAGAGAAAGAGATTAGAGTCCCCTGCTGTCCCTTCACCTAGTGAAGCAATGAGAGCGATTCTTCGGGACAAGAAATTTGTACAACCAATTGTTGACCAGCCAGATGCTTCCCAAGCTTTTCATGGGCTTGGAGATGACGAGTTGAACGGGTCCGTTTTGGATGCACCAGAAAGGCTAGGAGAAGAAGCAGTGGTAACTTCAGACGAGAACGGCAATTCTTCCCATGCCTTGAGTAACGAGTGCTTGGAAGAGCTTGAGCCTGCTGCCCTGGATGCTCCATCTACTGGCTCGGCAACTTCATCGGCACGAATCAATTGTCAAAAGCCAATGCTAAGGCTGAATTTCACTTCTTTAAGGAGAACTACAGAGAATTGCGCCTAATGCCAGACCATTGGAGACGTCGAATGTTTGTTCACCTTTTATCTCAGGGCTTGCTATATGAAAAATCATGTAATTAAATTCTCTTTTCATATTATCAAATGAATGTGTCACTCTTAGTATAACTGCAAAACCTTTACCTTGCTAATATATATTATTTGATTTTATTATTCGTTGGAACAAATTAATGTGTATTGTCATGCCAAAAGTAATAATGTGTTGGGAGTATAAAAATTATAACATTGACCATGAAGATGACTATGATTTAGTTCCAAAAATTAACATGTTTTCTTTTAAAGTTGAAGAGTTTTTACTTTTGGAGGAGATAAATCAGATAAGTGAAATATTGGTATTTGAAACATGTTGGTTTAGTGGTTCAACCCCTATAGTTATTCTTAGAGGTTGTGTGATCAATTCTTATCATTAAAAGTTTGGAGGGATTGAAACATGTATCAATTTTTTTCAATGTATCGCGAAGATCATTAATAAAGAATGGTTTTGGCAGACTAATTGTTATGAAAAAACATACACCATATTTTACAAAATTAGAAACCAACTACTACCTATTTCAAGAAAGTAATGTTTAAGAAGTAGAAAGAAATTACCCACTAGAACACAGAAGTAGGAAACAGTGACATGTCACAACAATACTATTGTAGGACTATCCCAGATTCTTTGAATTGTATACGCTTTAAACTTTGATATTTCTGTAGTTTGTTTGTTGAGATCATAGGATCAGGTCTAAAACCACAACAAGAACAATAATGATGAAGACAAAGCAGAGAAGAATAAGGAACAAAATGGCCGACTAGAAAGGCTGCGAATATGCGATTTAGTTGTAGTTGTTGTAGTAGTAGTGATGGCATTATACAAGAGTTGATTCCACGTATCTGGGACTCCGGGCAGACACCAGTGAGTACAATCAGGACTGATGTGTCCTCCGATTCCATAAGCAGCCGGGTGGCCATCTGGCCTGTACTGAGACAACCTAGTAATGTCCAGCAGGTAGACTGGTTTGGACATGTTTTTTATAACCTCCTTCAGCACCACTTCTCCTGGTTGTGCACTTTTGTCAGCATTGCTTGGCTTTATTGCCCCTTCACATGTCCTCGGTTTCGAACCCCTAATACTGCAATCATTAATAAAAAATCTAAAATCATTTCATGCAATAGCGATTAACCAAAAGAAACTAGAAAGACTAGTGAGCTCATTTTGCCCATAAACCCATCATGTGTTGCCCATATATAACCAAATGGTTGAGTGTTGGACTCACTCTTGCCAGTGGTCAGGAGAAACTCCTTGGAAGAAGACTTTGGTCTTTGTCGTGTCCACCTCCAAATCAACCCATCTCGCCCAAGTCTCAAGTGCTTTCGTATACAAAACCAACCGGTCTCCATCTCTGTATGTCACATTTCCATCCTCCACAAAATCCCATCTGAACAGAAACCATTTCACTTTTTTCCCAGAAGAAAAATCAAAAGAATGCGTCTTATAGCAAAACACGTACAACTTACGCTTGTTTCTTGCCAACGTGAAACCACCAATGCCATGTGTCGAAGATGATCGCGTCCATCTCCTTCCACCGTGTGTTCCTGCTTATAGTGTCTAACTTCAAGATTCTGTTCTCCAGGTCAACAATGTACATGCGCCGGTGGTATAACACAGACAGGTTGTAATCCTGGATACATATGTAATGATCAAATTGCAACATAAAAGCATATCTTCAAGACACACTGAAGAGATTAAGTGATCTTACTGGGAATGTGAAATTAGAGACTTCCCCAAATCTTTGCAATGTATAATTGGAGTTTGGGTCTGCTACATGGAGCAGACATGTGAGAGATTGCCACTGGTTGTTGCACAGTGAGTCTCCTACAAACATCACCTTTTTGCCCTTTAATCTCATTAGAAAATCTTTACCATCAAACCTGTAGAATGTTTACATGCACAAGCAATTTATAATTAAATTTAATACAAACCAGGCAGCCACACCAACCCAATCTAAGGTCTAGTTTGTTACTTTGTTCGAATGCAGCCACATGCCAAGGGGATTTTGCATATTTGTGCATATATTTGGTTTCATTCTTGTTGTTTTTTTATATCAGAATTTGTTAAATAATGCTTATTGTTTCTTTTAGGAAAATGTTCATTTTATTTTTCTCTTTTCTTGTTTATATTTTCTCATTCTCCTTATTTTTTCCATCTAAAAATGTTCGTTTGCATTTTTTTTCTCTTTTAAAAAATGATCAACCACATTTGCAAAAGGATATGTGAGATACTCAAGTTTAGAGTCAAGCCGCACCAAGATTCGAACAATGTGTAAAATCTATCTCTTTTTAAATGATTTTATTTAACAATTGGTATAAAAATAAAAAGTACAAATTACATATTTCAAAACTTCTACAAAAGAAAATGTAACAAGAAATAGGGAGTATGTACATTCTCGATCATCTAAGCGACCTAAAAACATTTATGTTTTCCCTTTGGTAAATGCTGGTGCTACAGTGGTAAGCAAGTGATATTTAGGTCCACCAAAGAGCACTCTTTTCTTTTAGGTTCATACCTAAATATGGCGTATAAACAAAGTATTTGATCTGTAAAGTATGCCTAATTTGTTATTTTCACGAATTTCATCACATGACGTATTGCCACCATTTTATATTTCCGAATATTTCCTTCCTTTACAATTTGATTCTTATGACAAACTTTTGTGATACATTTAAAATCAAATGAATATAGGCACATGTTATGTCCATGTTAATTTGACTTTTAATAGTTATTTTTGATAGTTATTGATCACAATTATCATAACATTTTACGGGTATATATCAAAGTATTATTAAATTTAAAACTCTTTTTTTTAAATTAATTCAATTGTGGGTGAGGGAGGAATAAAGCCCATAGGTAACCCATGACTCCCCATGAGGGTATACCCAACCCAAAACTCCGTCCCACACGCGCTTTAATAAAGTCTAGACGGTAGTTATGGTTCTGCTCCGTATTATAAACCTGACCATACAAAATCCGGTTTCCGTGGGTCGTGGGCTAGGGTGAGGCCCACACACCCAAATGGGTGGGCCAAGTTTTGACAACCATACGGACTATCAGGAAAAAGATAAAGCCGAAATATCGTCCTTTTTCTCCCATTTTCCCTATTCGTCCGTAGATTTTGTACCAAATTTTAAAAAGGTATTAAATTGAAAAAAATATTTTTTGGTCCATTTTTTTTTACCCATAATAAATTAGAGTAATTAAAGTCTAACGGTCTAGTTATTTGTCCAGTTTGACGTTTTCAAATCAAACTAGACAAACTTTGAGTTCCAGTTACTTTTAATTTTTATTGCATATAAGTATAATGAAATACTCCGTACAATTTTGAAGTTTCCAATATGATAAATCTAATAAAGTCATTTTTATGCTAAAATACATCATGATTTTTAATTAACTGAAGCACAAAATTTGTAAAGTTTGATTCGAAAAAGTCAAATTGCATAAATAATTTGGGACAGAGGGAAGAATTAATAATTACCTAGAGATATTGCAGTTGCTGGGCTGCCATCTATATTTGGTATAGTTTATATCTTCTCTTCCGTTGGGTAGACAATTGAACTGTTTCTGTATGAAGGGGCAAAGAGATGTATCATAGAGAGGGTAAGATTCATCATAAACCCAACTCCCTTTGAAAATATCACACCCGCCGGTTCCGCCCGTCCCGTTTACCAGCTTCCCCTCTACTCCGCCGCCGCCGGCGACGACCACGCATATTATTAGAGCTATAGTAATAGTTTTGCCGCCGGAAAAACGGTCCATGACGGCGGCCGGGGAGAATGAGTTGAAATAATACACGGCGGTGCTTCCGTTGCTTATCTCCTTGGATTAATGATGCTAATAATAATGATGATGATTAATGAGAAGAATGCGTAGGGGGGTATGAGTTTGGTTGATGAGTCAAATAGCGTGTGGAAGACGAAGTTGTTTATTTGTTTCTTTATACTCCATCCGTACACAAATAAACTTCTCGTTTACTATTCACATGGTCAAATTTTATTCACTTTATTAGACTATTTTCGTCACTCATTTGATAAAATAATATAGTCATGTCACCTCTAGTTTTGTAGATCTTTTGATATAGTTTTTTAATATGTAATTTTTATTTTTAAATTTTACACCATTTTTCATATAAAATGATTTCAAAATAACTTGTGGACGGAGAGAGTATGTTTTTAAGGTTCACTCTTATTGCCATTTTAAGAGTGAATAAATGAGGCAGGTAACCAGCAAAGGTAACAACATCTTAACAAAGGGAATCCATTTGAATTGCTCCTTATTTGTTTTTGTTTTTTTCCTTTTCGGGAGATTTCTAAAATAAATATTTGTTCAATTGTGGTTTTGTAATCTTAAAATCTGCATTTGAAATGTGAGCTTTCTCACATTTTTCATATCTTAACAAGTTAATTTGAATTTTATCTTTTTTACAAAAGGTCTAATTTCTTAGTATTGTTTTTATATAAAGGTTAATTAAAAGAGTGTGGACCTAAGGATCATATAAGAATTTATCCGATACTTAGAATATACTACCTCCGTCCCAGAAAACATTTTTCCTTTCTTTTTTCATCTGTCCCAAAAAACACTTATCATTTATATTAAAAAGTCACTTTTACCCCTTACTTTTTCCAACCTACCTATCACATCATACCTTTTTACTAATAATCTATCCATCAAATCATATTTTTACCCATCACATCAAAGGACATTTTTGAAATTCAATACTAAAATACACTCCCCTTAAATCCCCCTTCAAAACCAAAACTCTCATGTTTTCTGGGACGGAGGGAGTACTTTGTAATCATTTTTTCCAAGACAAAATTAATTCCTTAATTCTTCTAAAATCAATAAAAAAAATAGCACTAGATAAAATGTCTTTAACCTTTGCAATGTGGAGCATATTTGTCCTCTTTTAGGGTCCATTTTGGAAAGAGAAAAATGACTTTTAGAATATGACTTCTGAAAATAATAGAGACGAAACTAGAAGATTGTTATAACAGGAGAATATATTTAGTAGAAAATAAGTGTGAAATAACAGAAGACATACATCACATTTAATAGCATAAACTTTTATGTTTTTTTTAAAATTTATTATCTGCCGTTATTTTAGTCACCAAGTTCTAAAATAAAAATTTTACTATAATAAGAAGATGTGTAGTGTATATTGGTTACTGACTAAATAATACTCCCTCTGTCCCCCAGTATTTGTATACTTTTCCTTTTTGAGTCGTCCCACAGTATTTGACCACTTTCAATTTTAAGTAAGAAAAAACTATGCAAATGACAATTCTACCCTCACCTTTCTTAATCGTATTGTGGTGCATTCTAATTGATTTTTCGATTCACTTACACATTACCAATCTTTCCCCATTCATTTTTTGTCCACTTGTTTTTAAAATTTCTGATCTCTCGCTCGATTTCAGCCATAAATAGAGATTAAAAATTCTAGATCTCAAATCCTAGATCTCCACATCACAAATCACCTCACAACGTAAACGATAGATCTCCATATTTCCATTACTCTCCCTCATCTTCTGCAAGGTAGATTGGAGTTTGATTGTCTTCTTCAGTGATGACTTTGGATGTCTTCCTCGAGGAGGTTGCTGGTGACGGGTGGGATGAGTGATGCTATGATGGAGAAGATTTGGACGAGTTGTACGACAGTGATATCATTGATATGGGAAAGGGCTTATCTTTGGATGGATGGTGGGGGATGTGTGGGACAACAGGGTGGGGGTGGGTGGACGTTGAACTGATGGTTGTAGGGATGGGTGGGTTGTTTTTGTGGGTAAAAAATTACAATGTAAGATGAGAAAAAGAAGGACAGTTTAGTCTTTTACCTATCTATGTTGGTATGAGTGCAAAAACAAAAGTGAATGAATATTGGGGGACGGATGGAGTATTAAACAAGTAAGTTGTGTACAAAAGAAGCCTAAAATAATTACTATTAATATTGCTGGATAATAATAGAAATACTCCTTTTGTCCGAAAAATGAGTTTGCATATACTTCATATCATTTATAGTGTAAAACTTTAACCACTTTCTTTACCTATTTCTATTACTCATTTGATAAAATAATATAGTTATGCCACATCTTGTTTTGTAGATCTTTTGAAAAGGTTTTCAAATATGTAATTATTATATCTTTTCCTACACCAACTTTGAAATAAATTGAGTTAAAAATAATTTTAGTCAAACATAATGAAAACTTATTTTCCATACGGAGCTGAGGGAGTAGTACTTGAGCAATAATCAGAGAAAAAAAGAAAATTTATTTTTCTCTGCCTTCTCCGTTCAACAAATTTGGCTATTTATAGCCAAATTAAACCCACAAGTTTAAGTATTGTTTTGTTCAACTTTTTTTTTGCTTATTACTTATTTTTATTAAAATTAGATCAAATTGGGCCAAATCGGGTTTAACCAGATTAGATTCAATCATATTATATCCATTTAGATAAAATTAGATCATGCCAGATCCAATTAGATTTCATCAGATCCAATCACAATAGATCAATTTATAAAATTGTTGAAAAATAATATTATTATTCTGTATATTGTTAAATAATTATTACCATGCGATTGAATCATGTTACATTATTTAATATCGTAAATAATTAAACAATAGTTTCTTAAAGAATAATGGAACATACAATAGAATATTTATCGGAGAGATTACAAGGACAACTAGGAATATGAATACAAAATAATAATAATAGAATTTGACTAAAAGACAAAAACTACTATAATTAAGACTAGTTATTATTGATGTCCAACATCTTCCCTCAAGCTGAATCACATAGATCAAGTGGAAGCTTGGACACAAAATTCTGGAAACATGGTGAAGGGAGAGGTTTAGTTAGCGAATCTGTAAGCTAATCTTGTGAGAGAAGATGAGAAACACCCATAGTGTCAGCATTAATCTCTTCTCGAACAAAGTCATAGTCAGTTTTCACATGCTTCATTGTTTTATAGAACACATGATTTTTAGCAGGACAAACATTAGACTGATTATTGCAAAGTAGTTGAGGCATGTAGATGGGAACACGAAGATCTGTCAAACATATGTTAGCCAAATAACTTCTGTTGCGACCGAGGATAAGGCTCGATATTCAGGCGCAATCGATGATTTAGACGCACAAGTCTTCTTTTACACACTCCAAGAGACCTGATTGGGTCCTAGATAAACCAGATAACCTGTAGCAGAGAGTCCATCAATCATGCCAATGGCCAGTCCGAATCAGGATAAACATTCAATGGTAAGTCACCAGGCTGAAAAATAAGACCATGATTAGCAATAATGCCTTTTACAAAACAAAGAATCCGATTTGAACTCTTAAAATCATCATCAGTAGGAGTATGCATACGCTAACATACATAATTAATAGCAAATTGAATATCAGGAGGTGTAGTAGTAAGATATTGAAGACTACCAACAAGCTTTAAAAAAGCGGGATCATCAAATGGTTGAGATCCCCCTCTACGGTGACTAGCCAACCCGAGAGAGGAATGGTAGTCGATTTGCAGTCATCAAAACCAATCTAATGAAGCAACTCAAGAGCATATTTCTTTTGGGACACGACTAAAGTGGACGGAGTGCGACTCGCCTCTAGGATGATAAAATAGTGAAAGGGATCAAGGTCTTTGGTCTTACACTCTTGGCACATACGGTCAATAAAGGCCTAAACAAGAGCAGTAGAGCTTCCTGTAACAATAACACCCTCAATATAAATGAGAAAAATAAGACTACCCATAGAGCCATGCATGATGAAAAGACTTGTATCATGCTTATTTTTAAGAAATCCATAGGCATATAAGAAAGAAGACAGATGCTCGTACCACACACGTGAAGCTTGTTTCAAGCCATACATGGACTTGGTGAGCTTACAGACATTGTGCAAAAATGTTAAAGTAACATAGCCTAGTGGTGGATTCATATAGATGTTCTTATCAACTTTGCCATGTAAAAAGGTATTTGACACATCAAGCTGGCGAAAGGACCACTAATAGTGGAGCAAGAGATCGAGAAGACAACACAAATGGTTCACTGTTTGACCACAGGAATGAACGTCTTGAAATAATCTAGGCCATATTCCTGGTTGTAACCCTTGGCAGCAAGACATGTCTTATAACGATCAACAGACCCATCAACAATATGCTTGACCATGTATACAAGTTTACAGCTAATCGGAGCTCGACCCAAAGGCCGGTGAACAAGTACCCATGTATTTTAATCAAAGCATCATGCTTCTCATCCATAGCATAGTGCCAGAACATATTTTTGGATGCCTCTCAAAAAAGTGTTAGGCTCAGTGTCAGTAGGGGTGGTTATAAGGGTAGTGGTATAGATCTTGGACTTTAAAATGCCACTTTTAGAGCGAGTGATAATTAGATGAGTTAGTGGTGGGGCTTGTGGTGGAGGTACAGGGGTTTCATGCTCACGGTGTAGGTGGGGTAAAAGATGGCTCTTGGGAGGGGTGAGATTGTGTAGGGGGCTGGGTACCGCACGTGGAATGACTATCATAAGCGTTGAGTAAATGGGTGGTGAAGGAGTAGGGTGGTGTGATAGATGGTACATGTGAGCACAGACATGAGACACAACAAGAATAGGAAAACAAGGAAGAAGAGCAAAGTATGAGAGTGGAGAACTAGATGACAAACTAAAGTGGAAATATGGAAACTTAGACTCATTGAACTAGACATGATGCGAGATACAGATGCACCGAGTGGAGGGGTCATAATATCGATAACCTTTGAAAAAAGACTCATGACCCATGAAGACAACTTTGTGAGTGAGGTTTAAGCTTATGATCAATGTCATGGGGACGTGAGGGTAAGCAAG